ATATTATATATGTAACATATATACATGTACAACATATATATACATTAATGTCACAATCAGGATATTTATATATTTCACCTGCATTATTCAGATTTTCCCAATTTTACTTGTATTTCACCCACACAATTTGTGGGGCCCAATTCCAAATAAAAATGCAGGACCCCTTGTTAAAAAAATTGTTGACAATTTGAAGTCAGAGACAGGACAACATAAAGACAGGCATAGGACCTTTCCAATGCAGCGCCTGTGTGATGACATGGGCACACACCCTGTATTTATGTCCTAACCACTTAACTCCTCTGGGCACTGTACAGCTTCTGTGAGCTTGGAATCAGGTGAGACATAACTTCCTCATTTGCTAATCCACTGCAATTTTTGCATAGTGCCTGCATTTGATCACACCTTTCCTGAGCATGCAGCTTTGCAAAGATGTGGCATCACTGAAAGGAATGCAGGGCTCTCATGTTGAAACTGTGACCGGCCTCCACCTTGTAGTTCATGTGGTATCAGACAGATGTCACTGTTAGCTTTGAAATTTCAAAAGATCTACAGCATCTCTGGGAGTTCGCTGAAGCACTTCAGTGTGCAGTTTGGGAATCGGAGCTGTAAGGCACAGATTAATCTAAATTTGAGAATTTTGATTTTTTTTTTTTTTTGAGATGGAGTCTCTGTTGTCCAAGCTGGAGTGCAGTGTTTTTAGTAGAGACGGGGTTTCACCATGTTGGCCAGCCTAGTCTCAAACTTGTGACCTCAGGTGATCCGCCTGCCTCGGCCTCCCAAAGTGCTGGGATTACAGGTGTGAGCCTTCATGCCGGGCCTTAATCTCCTTTTAGGGGATTGCCTGAGGACGCTATTCTGGAGTCTGACTGTGTAGAGAGCTAGTTCAGATAGTCCCGTCCCTGACAGCCTGTCCTCTGCCTTTGTCTCAGACCCTTGGGTCAGTGGTGGCCACTGCATGTAGCAGTTTAAATATTTAGCAGAGATTTTAGAGTGCTGAGTAATCGCTCTGAAGTTTTTCAGGATGAAAGAGGTAGCAGCGATGGCAAGGCTGAAGTGAGATGGGCACTCTGGCACTGATGGTACAATGTAAATTGATAAACCTGTCATAGAAAGAGGCTTGATGAAATGACAACAGCCTTGAATCCTTTGAATCCTTTGGATGCTATATGGACCACTTCTATGTGTCTGTTCTAGGAAAGTATTTAGGACTGTGGGAAAGAATATTTACCACAAGACAGTTCATCCTCTATATCCATATTTGTGGGTTCAACCAACCATTGGCAGAAAATATTTGAAAATACAATGGATGGTTGACTCTATCCTGAATATGTATAGAATTTTTTCTTGTCATTATTTTCTAAACAACATGGTATAACAATTGACATAGTATTTACATTGTATTAGCTATTATAAATAATCTAGAGATGATTTAAAGTATAAGAGGATGTGCATAGGTTATATAAATACACTGTATCTTAAATTTTTCTTTTTTCTTTTTTTTTTTTT